GTCCCTCACCATCTCCGGGGCATCCCCGGGGGGCCAACGCTGCTTGCTCGCTCACTTCCTGCCCTGTTGCTTCCAAATGCCACATGTTCACTACTCTGGTGAACTCTGCTGGGGCAATGGTGCCCATGCCCACAGAGAGGGCTCTGAGTGCCACCTCTGGCACACGTGTCATAGGTTTGCCACCACTGCCATAGACCCTCCCTCCCTCACAATTTTATGAACTTGTCCAATCAAGTTCTTCTGAAAAATGTGCTTTTAAAAAACTCAAGTTATAGAAAATTAGATGATTTGTTCACTTTTACTTCTGATTAACCATTGATTATTGCACCAAGAACTCCATTATGCTTCAAATTGTTGCATAAATGAATATACTATAGTCCTCCAGGCTGCTGAATTGTACTCCGAAGCATTTCCTACCTATCTGTTGTTTCAAGGATTTGGAAATTTTTAGCTCAGCAAAATTTTAGCTATTGCTCTAAGTTAACATGAAGATTTTTGTCCTAAAAATAATCCCTGTAGCACTATTGGGTTTCAGGGTTTAGTGACCTTGTTCTAGACCAGAGGTCTCCAGCCTTTCTTGGCTGGAGGACCAGGGGGAAAGGGAAGAGGAAGCATTTTACATGCACGCGTGTGCGCACACACAAATGGGGCTGTGAGCACGCGTGATGCAAATGGAGCATTGCTAGCACCTGTGTGACACTCACTAGGTGCCCCGTTTTCGGCTTGCAGCACCCCGTTTTCACCGTGAGGTGCCCTGTTTTTGCCACATGGTGCCTTGTTTTCACTGCATAGTGCGCGCGGCACCCCATTTGCATAGCAGCAGCGCTAGCACGAGTGGGCATGAGTGCACGCACACATATGTGCGCACTGGCCAGCCTGTCCTGCAGTCCACTGGCCAGCAGGCCACGAACAGTAGTGGGCCGCAGCCCACAGGTTGGTGACCCCTGTTCTAGACAACAGGTTTCCTAACTTGTCACCCGTAACAATGGTTGGCATCTTCAGGGACATTTCTAGGCATATCGCACCTTTATTATTTTTTTTATAAATAACTCAAGGAGGCAAACCTACATAACACTCCTTCCTCCTCCTATTTTTCCCACAGCAACAATCCTGTGAACTAGATTGGGCTGAGAGTAACTGGCCTAAAGTCACCCTAAGCTGGGACTAGAACTTATTGTTTTTAGGTTTTCTAGGCTTAAATGATTTGGCGATCACAAATTTGTAGAACTGTAAAACTATGTCTCTATTTTATTCAATATTGATTGTTGATTGACTAATCCAGTGACACTGAGTAGAGGGACATTGCCAGTTATCAGTCCTCCAGTATGACTCATGGTATGGTAGTTAGAATGGTTATTTGTTTCATGAACCTTTTTTTGCTAAATATTATTGTGCTGATATTAATTCACGTACATCAATTCTTCAGCCACAAAAAGATGTCTCATATGCACTTGAAACTGAGTTCTGAAGCTGACTGAAAAATTCACAGCCAGACCATGTTACCAGAATATTGTCTCCATGAGAACTTGAGATATTTTACATAAAGTCTGGGAAAAACAGCCTAAAAAAACCAAAGTACATTGGGCAGATATTCCATCTTTCCCTCCTTAATGACTTTCTCAAGCCAGAAAGACAGAAATAATTAAAAAAACCCAGACAGAACAAATAGATATGAAAGACTACATATATTCCTTCTCCGCATCATTTCTTCTGTGAAGAAAGAAGGCAATAATACAATAAGAATCTCATCCAAAAATTTTCATGGATGACTTCATGTCTTCAACTTCATAGCCTTCTGTTCAGAAAGAGCAGAAGCATTCCAAAATAAATTAGAGAACTTTCAAGATACTGTTCTTAAGTAACTTTTTGTAACTTGAATATCCATGGCTTGTGAAAGTTACAATAGTATTGCCTTGATTGATTTCACAAGTTGTAAGAAAATAGAAAAAAAAATATATGAAGACCCATAGATTGGAAGTACCTCAAGCAACTAATGATTTTCAAGTACTTCAGGAGCTGAATAATGACAGCCATCTCTTTCAGAAAGAGAATATGATTGAATATGATATCAAAAACTTTCTTCCATGAAGATAGAATTGAAAATTTGAAACCATGGAGCATACTTCTATGAGGGTGAGGTAATAGAATAATCTGATCCCCTTTCAATTGCTAAAAACTTACTTTAAACTAAATTCTTGTAAGTAAGTAGCGGCAACTGGTTCCCATGAGGTGGTGCTTCTCTACTGTATTGAAAATATTAAGGAAACTATTCACTGTTACCCATTTATTACATGAAAGAAGTGCAGATACACATTCTAGCTAACTAAAGTTCACATACTTTCTGTTTCTATTAAGGAATATAATAGATATACGTTTAAAAACCATTTGGAAGAACTGCTTCATTTTTTCATAAGTCACAATCCCTCTGCTCTGTATTAAAGCACACATATCGGCAGCTTTTTTCAGCTCATGTGGATGCCTGAAAAAAGACATCAGTGCTTTAATGAGTATCAGAAAAGGGCTGTACTCATGTGAACTCCAAAACTTTCCTTCTAAATCATTTTCACCATCCTTTTAATGTTTTTTTACTCATGTTCCAGATTATCAACATGTGCTTCATGAGCTTTCTCTGGTTATTACCTCTTCCTCAACCCTATGAACTCCATCATTATCGCTGAGTTTATTGCTGAGGTAGGATAAGAATATTTCAGGGTCCACTGAATTCACAACTATTCTATTAGTCCAGGAACCTCAACATTTGTCTGGGAAGGAGTAAATATATATAAAGTAAATGCAATTTTCACTTATCCAACATTCTCCTATTTTGTGATTATTCTCTTACATGTTGATATGGAAAATCAATAAAAAACAACATGTACTGACATGAAAGTATATTAAGAATACACATGGCACCCCTTAGTGGCAACTGAGAAAAGCTTTTGGATGAAACAGAAAATCTTAAAGCAGCAGTGAAATTATTGTGGTGCAGGGCGGGGGAGGGGGGAGGGCGGACTAGAGCATAACGGATGTACTTTTAAAAAAAAGAACATCTCTGTAACCAGATTATAGTTCACGACTTGAGAAGCATCATTTTAAGAAGACAGTGGACAGTAATAGATTCAACTGCAGGAAGCTTCTCCTGAGAAAGGCAAAAGGGGAAACTGCTGAGCAATGGAAAGTAAGTAGGAATTTAAAATTATTAATCACAGAAAGGCAGGACTGAGTGTAGTGTTAGCAACAATTTGTTCATCCCCAAATCAAGAAACAATAGTTGGGCTAGTAAGAGCAGCCAAGAGGAAGAGAAATTCATGTTTTTGTTCTTTCGTGTATTTACTTTTTCTTCCATATACGTTCTTTGTTTCTGCCTTAAAGACTTTAAGGCTTTCAGTTTCCATTCATACTGAATGTCTGCCCAGGATGCTTAGAGAAGGCCAAGGAAGAGGGTGGGGGAAAAAAACCACCATCAAGCTGGTAATACAGATAGTCCTCAACTTATAATCACAATAAAGTCCAACATTTTGGTTGCTAAGTGAGACAGTTAAGTGAATTTTGTCCCATTTTACGACTTTTCATGCCACAGTTGCTAAGTGAATCACTGCAGTTGTTAAGTTAGTGACATGGTTGTTAAGTGAATCTGGATTCCTCATGGACTTTGCTTAAATAATAATAATAATAAAGTTGGAAGGGACCTTGGAGGTCATCGAGTCCAACCCCCTGCTCAGGCAGGAACCCTACACCATTTCAGACAAATGGCTGTCCAGTCTCTTCTTAAAAACTTCCAGTGTTGGAGCATTCACCGCTTCTGGAGGCAGGTTGTTCCATTGGTTAATTGTTCTAACTGTCAGGAAGTTTCTCCTTNCCCCTAATCATCTTTGTTGCTCTTCTCTGTACTCTTTCTAGAGTCTCAGCATCTTTTTTACATCATGGTGACCAAAACTGGATGCAGTATTCCAAGTGTGGCCTTACTAAGGCATTGTAAAGTGGTATTAATACTTCACGTGATCTTGATTCTATCCCTCTGTTAATGCAGCCCAGCACTGTGTTGGCTTTTTTGGCAACTGCAGTACACTGCTGGCTCATATTTAAGTGATTGTCCACTAGGACTCTGAGATCCCTCTTCTCAGAAGGTTGCAAAAGGTAACCACATGACCCCCAGAAACTAATAAATTTGAGTCAATTGCCAAGTGTCTGAATTTTGATCACCCGGCCATGGGGATGCTGCAATGGTCATAAGTGTGAAAAACGGTCATAAGTTACTTTTTTCAATGCCATTGTCACTAAATGAACTGGTGTTGAGGACTACATGTATTTCAGCATAAGAATCTAGTATTTTCAAACATCTACCTGGCTGCCATTAGAACTAAGAATTTTCCAATCAATTAGCTTACTTGGGTCAATTCATAAGCAGTCGCCTCATTTCAGCAAGCAGCTTGGGGACTTCTTGGAAGCCTTTCCCAGTTTTGAGTTGGAGTTGGGATTTGTACAGTAGGTGTCCCACATTTTAGGGGAATCATCTCATGGAAAGCTTATTTAGGGAGTCCTGTATTTATTTTGCATACTATTGTTATATGAATAGCAGAATTACACAAAGATAGGGCAGGCAAGTATTGAAGAAACAAGCAAAATGGATATTTGAGATTAGATTCGTCATTTACAAATCTAAGTTATTTAAAAAATATTTAAATACAGATAATAGTCCAGAGAAGTCTTTTTTAATTTCCAGGTCATGCTTACACACCATAATCTATTCACACTGTATATGTTGAACAGAGACTAAATATGTATTTTAATATGGTATGAACTATTTAGTTTATTTCTTTATTCTAAAAGTTTAATTGTATCAGCCATATACTGATCCACATTTTCTTTATTCTAAAAGTTTAATTGTATCAGCCATATACTGATCCACAGTTTCAGTCTGTTCAGTAATAAACAACACTCTCATTATTTGATCAGAATGAGCAAGAAAGTTACATACCGCGTGTGCAATGTTATATTACCTTGAATGCTCCTTTTAAAAAAGGCTTTACAGCCCTCACAGGACCAAACCCCATAATGGTAGCCAGAGGCATAATCATTGCAAACAGCACAATAGCGGGTCTCCTTGGTAGACTCCATAGACAGGTTTCCCCTTTCATTGGTGCTAGACATTCGCTCTCTGCCATTGTGACGTCTGGTCTCCGAGCCAGGCCTGCAAAATGAACAACAGTGGGTTCAACAGTGAAGAATAGCTCAGGGTGGAAACACTGGGATCTTAGTAACCTAGTTTGGTAAGGAAATGTTTGCAAGAAGAAAACCAAAGACACCAAGATCCCAACTTTAGTCAGTGGGTTGGCGCTACAAGCCAACACATGAAAATATCATTCTGGTTGGGAGTAACAATTTGCCATGCTAATGAAGCATGATCACTCGTTACAAGGAACTGTCAAATCTGGGAGGGAGGGATTGATGCCAACCATAAATATTAGGGTGTCCATATAATCTCCAGAAGCTGAGCTCATCTCGGGGAAGGCTTTATTTACATCCGAAAGGAACTGTGTACTGGGAACATAATGCAGACAAGACTATTGAAATCATTTCCCCCTTCAAGCATAAGCAGCTAAACTTTGCACTTCTATCATTGCCATTACTCTTATTTCCTAATGGTGCATTTGGCCACTTGCTTCTCCATCTTTTTCACATTGAATAATATAACCAATGAAATGAAAACTTGAAGAGAGTCCCATTTCTCGAATAACTAAACAGGGAGCACATAAAGTCATTTCTTGAATGTTCTAACCAAAATCAATACATTTAGATGGCACCATCATGCTTAAGCTTTAGGTGCCATGAAAAGAGGGGGTGTTGAAGTGGCTATACCATCCAAAGGAGTCCTTGACTTATGACCATTAATTTAGCAACTGTTCTAAGTTACAATGGTGCTGAAAAAAGTGACTTATGACCAGTCTTACCAGACCACTTATAACTGTCACTGGGGTCACATGATCATGGTTTGGGTGCTTGCAGCCAGCATGCATTTACAATGGTTGCCACGTTCCAGGGAAACGTGATTACCATTTGCAACCTTCCGAATTGGCTTCTGACAAACAAAATCATTGAGGGAAGCCGATTTATTTAGTGCCCATTTACTTACTTAATTTGCTAATCAATTGTGGTAAAAACAATCATAAAATTATTCATGGTCATAATTGCATTGCTTAATGACTGAAGTTCTGATCTCACTTGTGGTCATAAATTGAGAACACCCTGAATAAGAATAGCTCTCTTAGATTCAGCAAAATCTGCCTAATCTACTATCTGATCTTACATAGGATTCCAATAGAAGTTTCCATTTCTTGATCAAACATTTCTTGATCCTAAATGCTCAGATTTGCAGGAAAGACATACCAATGGTATGTTGCTTGAACCCAATTCAAATGGAGATGGGACTAATATTTTTTAAATAGCAGATATTTTGTATTAAAAACTTTCTCTCTCATTCCTACCACCTCTACTCACAGACCAAATATGAAGGTAATGTGCTAGTTTCTTATGGTTATATATCATCCTTGGATAGTTAATAACTCAGCTTGGCCAAAATGAGAAATGTTAGTCATTTCCATTAGAATAAAAAGTAATTTAGTAACCCCAACTAATTTAAAGAGGGATGCATTGTTAAAGAATTTAAGTACATAATTCTACACATTCCTTGATACAAATTTCACTGAAATAATTTGAAGAAATATGTTTACAGTTGAATTTCTACTCAGAAAACTCAAATGTATGGTGTAAAAAATACCAACTGCCCTTCCTTTGTGTCCCTTTATTCTTTGTGTCAACTTACTGTAAGAACATGAGACTGACATATGCACACTGCACAACTTTTCAGACACAAAAAGGAGATTGGAGATATAATGGAACCATATAATGTAAGGGAAAGGAACCTAGGAAGACATCTAGTCTACCTCCTTGACCACCACAAGAGCCAATTCTTACAGCATTGCCAAGTGATGGCCATTCATGAAATGATTGTCTTTGAAGGAGGTATTGCAACATGGCGATATTACCCTTGACAACAGTAGTTTATCCGATTATTGGCTGGTTATTTTATCAAATGATGTCTTAACACTACCAATTAATGGAGGAGCCTATCATACTTCTGAGATCTAAGCGGTAGATCCTTTTCAGATCTTTTTAAACTCTGGAACTTCATGAGTCAGAAAGACAGCACATATTGAACAATTATGCCAACTTGATATATAATAACAAACATACATTATTCTAATTTAGTAAAAACATAGCATGAAAATAACCACAAGGTTGTCCCAAATGACTTCAAAACTTAACCTTTTGTTGTTGTTGTTGTTCAATTTTCTTCTGTAAAGGCAAGCATACTTCTTTGTCTCATACTCGGGGAACAAACAGCCGTGTATGAATAACTGAATAGAGACAGCTTGTTCTCAGCCAAAATACCCAGACATTGCTCTGTTAACTCCTACTTTCAACTCTTTTGAAGAAATATTAGTCTTAGTTGCCTAGTTATCTGCTCGTTTCTATCCTTCAATGTTCCTGGAAAGTTTCCCACTTTTCTGATACTGCTCTTATTCCTTTGATGACTGGTTATATAGTGCTTAAAATGGGTTTTTCCAAGTACAAATTAAAAAAAAAACTTGGGAAGAAGAAAGATGAAAGACTTAAAATCATGAAACATCTGGAAGAAAAGCTGCACAAAAAACCTAAAAGGTCCTGAATGCTCCTGTTCATACGATGATACACCTCTTCAGCTTAGAAAAGAGTAACCCAGAAGCAATTCAAACATAAAAACAGAGGTATATGAAGAAAGGTGAAGATAACAGAAAGGAATCAGGTTAGCATGTAAAAGGAGTTAAATGACCCTATACCTCGTTTTAATCACTGCCCTTGGTGCTGTCTGAGCTTGGTTATTTTCTTGCAGACATTTTATTGCTCGTCACTAGCGCTGATGATGTTACCAAGTTTGGTTAATGAAATGTCTGCAACAAAACAACGAAGCTCTGAGAGCACCAAGGACCCCTCATTTCAACCCTGAACTACAAATATTCTTCTTTATTTAATCACTGCATTAGTATTGTACTGTAAAGAACTGTGAAAACACTTCTGGTTCACAAAGAGATTATTCTCTTTTAAAATGTAAGAATAATACTGATTGTCGTTGGTCAAAATATTATTTCTTCTTTCATGAACAGATAATTATTCAAGGCATGAATGGTTTTTAATAATAAAATATATCTTACATTTAAAATCTTTTTGAGTCTGTGACTGATACCTGTATTTTGGAGTAAGTATCTTTGAAAGTCTTTGTTAGTAAGCATTAGTATCTTTTCTCCCTTATATGATTTGAATTGGCTTCAAATTTCATTTCAAAGCAGTCAACAGAAATATATTAACCCATTGAAAGCTAACATAATTATAAGATAAGGACATAGGTTAATTAGGAAGGGTTAAACCTCCATTTTATTCTCATTATAATTTGCAGAGCAACATGATATTACTTCTGGTAGATTGCAACCTTATGACACAATGAAATTTTTTAGAATTATATTACAATCATTCATTTCATGCTGTCAAGTGCTGTTCTATAAAATCTGGAAAGAGTTTGATGATTTAATAGGGCTCATTGTTACAGTTTATGAGAGAAGAAACTTCTTGTTCAACAGGGACCAATCCTGTTGAAAGAAACTAATCAGGGAGTCACAAAAATTATAGTTTCCAAAAGAAACCTGCCATTTTCTTAAGTTTCAAACCGCTCTATTAAAACTGTATTATGTCATGTGTATGAGAAGGGGGAAATCCTTTCATAAAATACATCTATAATTTGATCAGACACATTTTGAATATTGCAGATTGAAGATTTCTTCCTGATTAGTAAATATATTTGGGGGGGACGGAGGAGAAAACTCTCAGAATTCTGGGATAATTATGTTTTTTCTCAGAAGCAGGAGAAAAAAAATATTGCTACTTTGGGTAACTGCTAGGCTGTATAATTTGGCTGGTTGAACCTGTCCCTGAAAAATTACTCAGGAACATATCACAGGAGACTGAATGACAACTCAGGAGGACATGGGGCATAACAGTGAGCTATAAAGCTGCTCAGTTGGGCCCTAACCCTGTTGGTTAATTTCCCTGAATAGTATTTCCATCCTTCATGCATTAGAAAATTTGTTTTCCTTCCATAAGAAATAATGTTGCTCTGCATAGCAGCCTGGTAGAAACGGGATACAGAAGATTGTGGAGAAATGGTTTTTTAAGAGTTTCTCTTGCAATCCAGAGCAGCAAAGGATATGGGTGTGTTTTAAGATGCACAGCCCACTGGTACAAAGTGAGTAATAAGACTTGCTTGAAGAGTATGCATTCACCATATATAGATGGAGTTATAGTCATTGGAAAAGTGTTCCCCAAACTTGATGTTCTCAAACAGAGAAACATGGCCTTCTCCTCATTTGTGTGGGTATGTTGTTGCTGTTGTTGTNCTCCTCCTCCTCATAAGAATGTATATTTTAAAAAATGAAGCTTCTCAAAAAAAATTAACTTCCTCAACAAGGAAATGGTATGTTCTACGAATAATCTGTTATTATTATTATTTATATACTGTTACCAAAGTGCTTGGAAATTTACTAAGGATATGTTCTTGCCCTAATCAGCCAACAGTTTAAAATCCAACCCAAGGACAGTGGAAAAGAGAGAAATAACGTGGTTTTTCTTCGTAATGCTTACTTAGGCTTACATAAATAGTCTGTTACAAAGCAAGATTGGAACTAAAATTTCATTTATAAAATGGCAAGTATCATCCTCTCTTTAGTGGAACGGGGATATTTATACTGATATCTGAAGAGCAGGACCAACTACACAGAGAAAATTGATTGCATCCTACCACATAATCTATTGGTTGTTTAGAGAATCTCTGACTCAGTTGTTCCTTGAAATCTTCTATTATGTCTTGCTAAGAAAAGATTAAATTCAGTAAGAACTAGCCTAGAGGCTTTGAAAGACTGAAATTGCCAGGAAATGCAATTTCCAGACATTGAGACAAATATCCTTGATTTCTTCTATATTTACTTATTAACCCCGTCCCCATTCTTGAGTTGCTTGATTTAAAAATTATTTAAACATTAACAGAGCTGTTTTTCGTTGGAGGCATTATTTCTTCTCATTTCAAGACATAAACTAGTTATA